TTCCCTCTGACGTCACTGCTGCTGCTGCGTGGCGTCGTTGCAGCTCGCCCCCAGCCCTACACCACGCCGCGCCACGCCCGCCGCCGGCACTCCAGCCTCCACCCAAAACAACATCGATGGCGTAGCTATGCTTCACTGCTCCCCTCCCCGACTGCCGTTGCTCTACACCCACCCTTCGCAGCTGGAAGGAGCACGCCGCTGGTTTGAGTCGTGTAACTTTCGTTTTATTTCAGCCCCCCCCCCCTTCCCCCCTGGCCGCCACCAGAGCAGCGGCTCGGACGTGGCTAAAACAGAGTGTGCGTAAAGTTGTTCTGTCCTCTACCAACGTTGAGGCCGCGCGACCCGTGGCGGGGGAGGGGGAGCCCCCCCTTTCCCCCCTGGCCGCCACCAGAGCAGGGCCTCGGACGTGGCTAAAACAGAGTGTGCGTAAAGTTGTTCTGTCCTCTACCAACGTTGAGGCCGCGCGACCCGTTTCCAGAGGTTTGGGTGGCCTTCCCCCTGTGACGTCACTGATGCTGCTGCGAGGGGTCATTGCAGCTTGCCCCTCTGCCCTACACCCCGCCGCGCCTCGCCCACCGCCGGTACTGCAGCTTCCACCCAAACACCATCGTTGGCGTAGCTATGCCTCAGTGCACTCCTCTCCAACAGTTACTGTCTTTGCCCGACGGGTGATGACCGCTGTCACTGCAGGTCACCGTATTTCGCAGGCAGCAGGCGGTGCCACCTCTCACCACGTTGCGGAGGTGCTCTCTGCCCCAGCTACCCCAGCGACACCAACAACTGGTAAAGAACGTCCCAGGAGCGACCCCCGAGGGGGTCCCCCACTTGCCAACTCGTTACACTTGCCCATGCCCAACTCATGGACACTTCGCTGTTGTGTGTGGCAAAATTGTATAAGAATATGGACACGCGGCGTGTCCTAAAAAATATTTACACGCACTTCGTTTTTCTTTCAAATGTCAAAAACTTAGAAGAGTTCGCCTTTTATTTTTTACTTTTTTCTTTCCTTGTTTTAGATTTGGAACGGCTCCACAATGGAGGATCATTTTACGTATGGTAAGAGGCTTTGAAATTTAACCAATTTAACCAGCTATTTGCCTCGCAGGCACAACCAGCTGTCCACCTGACTTGGCGTGTCAGGTCCACTGTTGCCAACAGTCGAGTCGACCTGACAGGCACTAACTTCCTTGTGCGTGACTACGGGTGCCTAAGGCACTATTGTGTTTACAGTGCGGACATAGTTTCTGTTTGAGGGGGGGGGGAGTAACTGTTTGAAAATCAATCCTGACACCTTGTAGCGTGTATAGAATTTTCTCTATCTTCCTGCAGGTCCTCGCAGAGGCCCGTGTGTCGTCTGTGGCCAGGCTGGTACTGCATGCGCGCGCTGCCGCGTCGCCTTCTACTGTGGCAAGGAACACCAGAAACAGCATTGGAAACTGCATAAGCCGACCTGCGGTTGCCTCGAGGTGAGTGTTCTCTTAGCTCGATCTGAGACCACGATGTAAGTGTACTAGTGGGAACACCCTTGCAGGTACGTGCTGACGAGCGTGTAGGCCGACACATCGTGGCCGTTAAGGACATCCCGATGCGCACTGTCCTCATGAGGGAGCTGCCGCTGGTCGTCTACCCTGGAGCCTCAACGAATCCGCTTGAACCCACGAAGGTGAGTGCACATTGTTTATTTTAGCTTGCATTCTTGGCAGGGTGTCGGGGTAATTTTCCATGCACTAAGTGTCAGACTGAACAGTGCAGGGGTGGGCCACGAATCCTACAGCCATACTGGCTGGGTCTTGTCGCGTCTGCATCCCAAAGTCCGACGAGACCCGCCGTTTTGCGAGCCGTAGGCCTGGCTCTGGCGGTCGGTAAAGGGTTGGGATTTTGTAGCCTATGGTATGGAGACGGTCACTGCGAGCAAGACAATCGAGGCTAGGCAAGTCAGGACTGACTCGTAAAAACTATGCGGTCCAGTTTCCCGCGGGTTCACACGGTCTCGCGTGGGTAGTGTTTTTGAACCGCACTTGTAGTAGGCACTGTACCAGGTGGCTGACTCAC